CGCCGGCGTCAGCCGGCGAGGCGATGGTCCTACATACAAACGAGGGGGCGTATGAAGGGCGTTGACTGAAGCTGGACATGGCAGCCTTTTCACCACTTCTTGGCTGCATCAGCTGTTCGAAAAGGTAGTCGTGGCTGCGCTCCGATCCACGCCCCCTCACACGCCTCACGAAATCGGGACCATCACAGTTGCTAAAAGAGGATTTGATAGGTTGAAATCATGGAGAATGTAGGAACCATTTCGTTTTCAGTTCGAGGTATCATGGTATGAACGTTATGGAAACGAGTCAATACCATATTTTCCAATTCCAAAATTCTACGCCGCCGAAAATGTTACTGTACCGGAGACTGGCATCATTATTATGGAAGATTTGAGTGAACGTGTAAAAGCTATGGACTTTATTCCAGGATTTTCGTTCGATCAGGTGCAGTTTTAGTTTGAAGCGGTCTTGATGTAAGTGCTGGATCATTTATGTTTTTTTATGAAAAATAACAAAAGCAGAAAACCCAAAGTGGCAATATAAGTCCAAAACATCTATCAGGTTTATTTTGATAAATACGAGAACTAATAACGGACCTGACAAGGATCCACCTTTTTTTTCCTATTTTGTAGCAAGTTTTCTTGGTGTCTATCATCTTTCGGATGAGGAAAGGGCATGTGGAGGGGAGTGAAATGATGGTCAGCCAGAACTGCCTTTCCCGCCATTTGTGGAAGACTTGAAGTAGCACCATTGGTAGGAAAGATCGCCTTGACAGCGCTCTAGTCCACGGCCCATCGCACGTCCTATCGTCTGCAGGGATCATAACTGTATTTAATACTTAATCCATAGCCATATTTGGAGGCTGTTTTCAAGACTTGTATTAATACGTAGATGTCTTAAGATCGAAAGACTAATGGACGCTCTGGCCGGGTTTCATTACCACTTCATATCGAAGAAGGACCAGTCATGGGTTGACGAATTCGACCGTGCCTCCGAGGTTGATACGGACTTCCAAAACCTACAGGTTCTTTATTTGTATATACTCATTATACACTTATTATACTTATTTATACGATCACCAGTTCGTATAGGCCTCATTGTTGCTCTGATCATCCACAGCGATATCATTCCCAACATCTTCATGGGAGGTGTGTGTGTGTGTGTGTGTGTGTGTGTGTGTGTGTGTGTGTGTGTGTGTGTGTGTGTGTGTGTGTGTGTGTGTGTGTGTGTGTGTGCGCGTGTGTGTTGTGTGTGCGTGTGTGTGTCACAGGGCAGGGGTCCCTTGGTTACCTTGATTGTAATCTTGTCAAGAGTTCATGAAAGCAGTGACGGATGTTAGAGGATCACGTCTGGCTTCAAGACACGTTACTCGATTACTTCATAGGAAGAGCTCCTCCTAGTCATGCCATGAACAGGTGTCTGCAACCGATCATAGTATCAGCTCCATAGTTGTTATGTATTCTTAGCGTCCAGGCAATAAATTGAAAGCAGCAGTGTTGGAAAAGTCACCGTTAGATAGATTGAATGGAGAGAAAAGGGACATAGGAAAACGTGTGAGGAACAACGAGATGAAAATAGAACAATTTGGTCTTTTTCTTTTTTTTATTCCCAAAGTACGTACAGATGTATTAGGCTGTGCTTATTTCTTTAATAAAACCGAAGTTTTCAGTACGAATCTGCGCTCAACTTCGAAAACATTTGTCCAGAAAAATTCGCAGGAAAAGTAGCACCTTTGAAAGAGCACTTCAGTAATGAGGCAGCAGTAAGAGCTCTCTACTCCTACAAAGAGCTAGGTTGGTATTATTGGTTTCGAAGCACAAGGATCCTCCATAAGTCCAAACTGCTGTGTTTTCTCCGGCATTTTACTGGCCTCAGTTCTGGTGAAAGCGCTGTAACCTAGCGCTGCGCGCTTCGATAACTTTGAAATCTGCTCCGCTGTTTCGACATAGTGGAGAACTGGTGGCTTTTATGAAAGTTACACTTAGGAAATAATGGTGTTCAGGTGTTCCTCCAGTTTTGGTGCATTTTGATTTGAATCCCACAAACATCTTATGGGACCCAAATCCAGCAAAATCGAATGAGGTTCTTTTTTCTTTTTTCCCCAATTTTTTTTAGTTGTGGAGTCGATTTTCCGATAACTCGCTTGCGCTTAGAATTCCTCCCATCAAGTATTTCTGTTCGTTCAGCTTGTCGCAGTCATTGATTTCCAACAGCTTCATACTGGGAACTTCGCCGAGGATATTGTTCGAGTCTTGATCATTTCGTTATCGCGTAATGATCGAAGTCTGATGACTGAAAGGTAGGAGAACTGAGCTCAGATGCAACAATTCTATGAAGCTATTGTATACTCAAAATTATATTGCGCCACTACAAGTGGTTGAAGGTGTTTAGAGAAGGATGTGAATTTGGTCAGTACCATAACAATGAAGAAAAAAAATGCAAAAAATGCAATGAAATGAAAATATGCTCTGAGTAAGACTCCTTTGTTTAGTATTGTGCAAGTACATATGTTGATAAAAGATACTGTGAGCTGTTTCCCGCAGAGGTGGTGGACTTTTGCGTAATGCTTGCTCATTCGAAGGCATATGGCACGATAATTTAGTCCA